GTTCCAATATGCGTTTTTGCTGCCTGTTGCAGCGCTCTAGCGCTGCACGACAAAAACGCATAAAAAGTAGGTGGTGATTCGAACAACTGCTAATTGATAAGTTTTTTTAAAAAAATATAGCTACAGTAAAAAAATGTAAACCTCGCCAATGAGCTGTAATTGTTGTATGAGTTGTCGGCAGTGATTATCGCCTGCCAAGGGATTCACCTCGTTGCGTACCAGAGTAGTAAAATGAGGCCACGTTATCACGGGAAAATGTGCATGCTGTTTACGCACACCAGAAATGTACTGCACTGTCGTGTCCAACAGACCAAGTGGTTTTTGTAGCCGCTGAAAAGACAAGTAATTCAAATCTACGATTCATTTCCGAAAATAACCCTAACAGGGACAGTGCTGCTCGATTTATAAATAAAAACTCAATAAATTTATCGGGAAGGCTGAGAGCCTGTTGCGCAGCAAACGTATTGAAATATGCAATTTCTCCACTTTAAAAATGTTCATTTAAAAAAAAAATTATAAAAGTGAAGGGAAAAACTCACCGAGAGTATCGATTCGCGGGCCTTTGAAAGATAGTTTTTGAGAGATTTCATGCCTATAAAAAAAAGATTTCGTAAAAACCCTACATTTGTCAGGAGAAAATGATATGCTAAGACGCTCACAAGTTAGCGGACCGACACGTTTTAGCTTTCTATTTCCAGTTTATCTCCATCCCCGTTTATTATCCCCGTCATCTGCCTCTCTTCCTAGATTCTCCTGTGTAATTTACATCTGTTTATGTACTTAATGATAATTAACAATTTATTTCGGCTGAGAAACGTACCAGGGCAACTGGTCTGTGTTGAATCGAGCAAAATTAACTGGTCGTGAATATCGAAATGCGTCTCGAAGCGTAAACGAATCGTTTTTAACATCGCATCACCATCTGATGAAACGTATTCGCCATCACTGTTCTTTTGGGGGAATAATGCAGGCGTTGCATGACTTCCGATTATTACCACCTAGAAAAGATAGGCCTTGCTTCGAACTGGCTTTTCTTGAATTCTAAATTTAACATGCATTGTAAAGTATTCTGAAAAGCACGTAATTTTTTTCATGCTCCCTTCCATAATATCACATTGTTATTTGTTTATAAAAAGACATATTATAGGTAGCATGTTAGTCCGCCTGCACATTTGCCTCTTTTCCACACCTAAACGAACGTGAACAAAATTGAAGAAGGGGAAGGATGTCTAACAAGCAGCAGTATTCAACATTATCCCAAAAATTCCGGTCGCCCAAAGTTTTCCTGGTAGCTACGACTAAATTCCCGTATCATCACACGCCACTAATTCAAATACTACGTTTTGGCTGCTGGGATTTTTCCAGGTTGCTTATTTTTATGGCAGCATAAATTTGTCACTTTTACGTGGAGCATAAATTTGCCATTTTTCTGTACTAGTCACTACCATAATGCAGCAACACAACTGTATGAGCACCTCCTCATACAAAAAACACACTATTCCGATCTCCATCATTTTTTCGATGCGCGTCAACATTTTTCACTCGTGTATTGTAGCAGGAGAAAAAGACAAATTATAAATAAATGATACTTTGCTTCTACGTGAAATAATGCCGCAATGTCCAATTGGTTCACTGGGAGTGACGCGACCCTTGAGGAAGTTCATCCAATAAAGCACTTGCTTGTACTGTACTTCAGTGGGGTCGATGCAACGATACACAATAACATGCACGCAATCTGTATTCCCAACGAAATGATCATAGGCCATATGGTAAGGTTCATAACCACCAAATTCCCAGACCGAGAATTCCCCGCATCCTAAAATATCCGAAAAAAACTCATTTCATGAGGACAACTAGAAATAACAGATCAGGTGATCAAGAACAGATGTGATTGTTGAGTCAGAATTCATCAAACCTTGTAGCGTAACATTTTGTACATCAATTCCACGCGTGTACTGTGCGTGAGGTGCTCCTCGTCTTCGACTGCCTTTCATGTTATTATTCGCTTCCACTGAGTCATCAGGTGAATTGATGCCTTCGTCTAAAAAAGGCAACAAAACAGTCTGGTAAAGTGTAAGTCACTAAAAGCTAGGCCAAAATTTTAACTACGGTTTGTCCACTCATTTACCATGATTGCCCTAATTTTCAAACACATATAAGTTACCAGTTTACCATCGAAATGGGTCAAATATCTGCAGAAGGAAGGGTTATTTTTTTCATGGCCGCGAACGGAAACATCGATTTTGGTTTGAAGATGATGCTATGTAGCACTGCACTCAACTTATCAGCCTAACATTTTTAGTAGCCATAGTCTTGTCGCCATGGCTCTTCTCGTTGACAATGCAGCTAACAGAAGTGCAATGAAGAAAAATTGGCCAACGCACGGGCTGCCCGTGCGAAGATGCGTTTTTTGCAGGGTTCCCTGCGGTTTTTGTCGCTGCCGGCATCGGTTCTTTCG